CCCTCTGGTAGTTGCTTTGCTACAAGTAGGGTTGCTTCGTTTATATTTTTATTTATATAAAATATAAATACAAACAACAAACAAATGAAAAACAGCCTAAAGGCTCTTGCTTTTTTTAAATTATAAATAAAAATATAAACGCTAGCCTCTAGAGATACAAATTTTTTAATATTAGGAAATTTGTTAGAGTGGTTTAATAAGTTCGCCTTGAAAGCGAATGCTGATAAATATCAGCCGTGGGTTCGAATCCTACAATTTCCGTAAATTTTTGCTTCATTTATTTATATTTTAATAAAAGGAGTTGTTTGGAAGCAACTCTCTTCTCTTGCTTTTGTTATATCTATGTACTGATTCTATAAACATCAATCAACCATTATTAATAATAGGATAAACCAATTGCCGAAGATAAGTAGTATAAAGTACAATTCTTTTGAAATGCAACACACATTAATAATAAAAAGATCAGAAGATCACGCTATGGTAGTTGCTTTGCTACAACTATTAAGACCATTAAAATTTTTATAATAATAAAAATAACGATATACTAAGAAAATTTACCCTTTGGTTTTCCCTTCAGTTTTTACTTTTCAGCCTTGCTTCGTTTATATTTTTATTTAGATATAAAATATAAATAAAAACTAGGCTAGCGATTAAATAAGCAAGCTTTTTTTTTAGGGCAAAAGAATCATTAGGGTTCAAACTGGAAAGATACTTAATGTTTCCCCATTTTATTTAAAAAAACGACAAAACCCGATGCTGGATTAAACTACTCATTATTCCAAGATTTAGCAAAAAATGTGGCTAGCGATTAAATAAGCAAGCCTTTTTATTACTTTATATTCTCTTGCTTTTGCTCTACAAAAGGCAAGAGCAAAAGTAAAATATAAAGTACAAATAATAATTAAAGTAAAAACTGAAGGACTATCGAAAAAATTTATTACTTTTTTCTCTTTTGCTCTTGTTTATATTTGTATTTATATATAAAAATATAAATACAAAAAGCAAGAGAACAAAAATTTAAATCGCTACAAAAGCAAGAGTTAAAAATATAAATAAAAAAACCTAGCGCTCCTCAGTTTATTATTATAAAAATAATAACAAACCAACGCTAGGGTGCTTCTTAAACAAAA